CCACTCCCATCTGGTCACATGGGTGACAAGCCACTCCCACAAAGGAGGCCACACCCACAGAGTAGGTTCGAACAATTTTTGAAACCCACCACTGACATAAAGAGAACATGTGATGAAAGCAAGGAATTTCTCTGCTTTGCTCACCTGCTTTCCCTCCTACTGGGGGAGGGAGGCATCCCCATGGCCATGAGACTTATGGAGTGAATGCAGGTGTGGAAGAAGAGGGAAGCAAAGAAGAGATAGAAGACAAAGTTCTCCCCAATTTAGACTTGGCCCTTTGGGATTGTATCCCTACCCAGTCTTAATATCTCCCAAAGATTAATAGACAGGGATAGCAATTTTTATTTGAAGTCTTTTTCACCCTGTGTATCTTTAATGGTGGTGGCAAAAGATTAATTTCAGTGTCATGGAAACATGGAATCAGTGGTAAGGGCAGATGTGTGGATAGAAATCGAGGAGTTATTTTTAAGAAGAGTTAAGTAGCTATCTTTTAACACATATGTACGATAGCTCAAAGCTGAGAACAACCACATGCCTGTCATCAATTGCAAAAGTGTATGTGCGTGCAACATAGCATAGGGCCTATCTCCACTTGTTTCTGCTTGCCTGCTTTATTTGGATACAATGAGGACACTTCAGATCCAGTCTATTAAGCGCTGCCATTGTATATGGCTGAGGAAGTCTGCCTTCTCTGCCCCAGCCTGCACCTTCTAGAACAGGGGAGGGATTCAATTTTTTTTTTACTACCGGTTCTGTGGGTGTGGCTTTGTGGACATGGCTTTGTGGGCGTGGGTGGGGAAGGATACTGCAAAATCCTCATTTCTTCCCCACTCCTGGGGAAAGGTCACTGCAAAATCCCCATTCCCTCCCCACCCCACTAAGTATCATCTTTATTGTCGTTGTACTTAAATACAACGAAATTGGTTGGATTAACCTGCTTTCCAGCTCTGTTCTCTTGTTCAGGGCAACAAGTGAAGGTCTGCTGGGAGGCTGAGAGGCAGCAGGGACAGGGTCAGCCTATTTGCCGGTTCTCTGAACCACTCAAAATTTCTGCTACTGGTTCTCCACAACCTGTCGAACTGGCTGAATGCCACCTCTATTCTAGAACATCATGCCCCCAGAGTTAAGAATGACACACACTCTCAAATGTGCGGATCCAGAAAGTCCTTATCCCCGGGCTCTGTTTCCTAATCTGGGGCTAATGTGTTTGATGTAGTATCTGTAGGGCTCCTGCCATGTTTATACAGTTTATTGTTCTAATTATTTTAATTCAGGTTGCAATGGTCCTAAATCATTTTTTTTCTGTGCCACTGTAACTGTCACTAAATGAATGGTTGTAAGTCAAGGACTACCTATATAAGCCAAAGTCAATGATTGCATGATGGTTAGCATGTTGCATGGACCTGCACAGTGTGCTTTGTCAATCACAGGTCATGACTTAAAGAGAATATGAAAACTAAGAACAATTGTATGATTTGTTCCTTGCAAATATTATCTGCAAACATTCAGCTGTGGTATTCTTTTCAGGAAGGAGTTTTAAATGAAAGACAATGTTTATGGGATCTGTTATTCTGAGACTTTTGTCATATTTATTGCGTAGCACAGATTTCTTTCTTGCACATTGCAAATATATGATCTTTCCTCATAGTTTTCCTCCCCCTTCTGAGTTTCCTTTTCTTCCAGATCTCTGGATCACTTTTCTGGCAACACCTGGTCATCTGCTTTATCCATCTCTTCACATTTTCATTCAGTGGACTTACACATACCTTTTTGCGCCTGGTGTGAAGGCTATAGGAGTAAAAAAAAAGATTTTAAAAGGAACTAATAACAATATCTGCAAAGAATATGATTTGTCTGCAGTCAAGAACTGGAGGGATCATAAAACGGACAAAGTAAGAGAAAATAAAGAATCTAAAGTGCTCGGGGCTTTAAAATTCAAAGAGACAAGCACTTGTCATGTAACACCCTTGAGTTAACAATTGTCAATAAGAAAAACAAAAAAAAAGTCTGGACAATGGATGTTGCAGAACCTGGAGAGAGCAGAAAAGAAGCGAGAGAACTGGAGAAATTCTCAACATACAAAAGAAAATGTAGAAAGATAATGACTATGGCAAAAGAAAGCAAAGATAATGCTTGGTATTAGGCACAAAGGTCCTTGGTGTTTTTTGTTTCCTTGCATACATTTCATTACCCAAACTAGATAACATCATCAGTGCTAGTAAAGAGTGGGGTTTGCTCTCAATTTATATCCCAGTGGCTAGCTCTGTTAATGTTGGTGCGAGTGGTCTTGGTGGTTCTTTGGTTGGACTGTTTACAGTTAGTTTGTTTGGCAGATCCTTGATTGGGGTATTGTTTACTTCTTGAATGTTGGTCTGATGTTAATTTTGGAGTTAATCTACGCTCATCTGGGTGCTGATTGCTGTTCCTTTTTGTTCTCTTTTTGGCTTGTTGTTTGTCTCTTTTGAATGGTGTATAGATATTGTTTATGTCTATGTGCCTGTCAATGGATGATTTGTCAAAGGGCCAGGTTTCCAGGAATTCTCTAGCTTTTTTGACTTGGCTTGGATTAGAATGATCACAGTTTCCCAGTTGAAACTATGACTAAGTCTCTCCATGTGTTGGGAAATTAAAGAGTTTTCGTCATGTCTTATGACTGCTACCCTGTTTCCCCAAAATAAGACCTCCCCAGATAATGCCTAATTGGGCTTTTGAGCATATGCACTAAAATAAGCCCTCCCCCAAAAATAAACCTTCCCCAAAATATTGCAACACAGCAGCAGCCATGAGGTGACCATGCTTGCCGTCTCCTGCACCTCAAAAATAATAAGACCTCCATGAAAATAAGGCCAAGTGCTTATTTCTGGGGTCAAAAGAAAACAAGACCCTGTCTTATTTTTGGGAAAACACAGTAGTTGGTGTCATGGATGTATTCTGCTAGTCTCCTGCCTGTTTGTCCTATGTAGTGCTGTTGCGGTATTTACACTGTATGTTGTAAGTAGCTCCTATTTTTTCTTCTGGGCAGCTGGGACTTTTGGTTTACTTAGGATGTTTTGGAGGGCTTTAAATGGTTTGTGTACTATACTGATGCCACATGGTTATAATAGTCTATTGGTGGTTTCTGAAATGTTTTTGATGTATGCTAGTGTTATCTTTTTTGCAGCTTGTGTTGGTTGTGCTATATTGAGTTGAGTGGTCAGGCACTTTTTGATGAAGTTGTGTGGATATCCATTTTGTTGGAATATCCTGTTGCTGTGTATGCGCGTACATGTATTTGTGGTGTACCACTTACATCACAGCTGGTATTCTGCATAAATCATCACTCTTTTGTCTCTCATATTTCACCACTCTTCTTAACCATCTCTTGGGGATATGCTGGGCTACTTCTGTGCAACAGTCAAAGAAGACAGGAAATACAGCTGGAAGAAATAGAAAACATTACTTTTATTATAACTCAGTAACCAGTGTGGCGAAAGATAAGGGCTGCTCAACTGAGACTATATACTGAACAGTCATGCATCAAATGGTACTAGAATTATCATGAAGTTCTCTAAGCGTTTTAGAGTAAAATTTCCAAGAACTCAAGTCAGCATAGTTATTGCTTGAGCAAGCTTTGTAATTATCATGGTATTTAGTTGCTAAGCATATGCATTTTATTCTTAAAGAAAAAAGGATTAAATTAAATTACAGAAGCCAGTTAAAAATAGTACCACACAGGAACAAAAAGTTATAGATTTTGGACCTAAGAACTGGAAAAGTAAATACATTCAATGTTGCTCATTTTAATGAAGAAAAAGGGATATCCCCAAATGGCCTGCAGTCTGTAAATACTAATACAAGCCAATCTAGTTTGATGTATGAGTATCTACCCAGGAAACAAAAAAGGGAATAACAATATCAACATCTGGAGCACCACTTGAACACTGTCAGCATTAACAAAATCACCACCAATAAATTGCAAAGAACAGTTTTATTTGGAATTGCATACATTAGCGATGCTTTTAACATCATCAAACAACAACTAGTACTTTGGGAAGGAATCCATAGGTAGATAAAAATGCCAAATCCAGTCTAAACATCTGGCTGACAAACAACTATAATAATATTGCACAGTCAGAAGGGTCTATTTGAAATACATGCAGCTCTCGCTTACTGACTGCCTCATTTAGTATTCGTTTGAAGCAGAGGTGGTATTCTACAGTTTATGACCAATTCTAGAGAACCAGTAGTGGAAATTTTAAATAGTTTGGAGAACTAGTAAATGCCACCTCTGACTGGCCCTGCCCCCATCTACTCACTGCTTCCCGAGTCCTAGCTGATCGGGAGGGAATGGGGATTTTGCCACGCCCATCAAGCCATGCCATGCCATGCCACACCCACCAAACCACACCCACAGAACCGGTAGTAAAAAATTTTGAATCTCACCACTGGTTTGAAGTCAGGAAGGCTCTGAAAAAATAACTTTAGGATCTGTCTTTGCATTTAAGACCTGGGCAACATCACCAGGGTCATGTAATCAACATTCAGTTGCATCTCAACTGGCAGGAATTTACAACTGTCTCAGCATTTCGTGGTCACAAGATTGCCACTTGTGTGACCATGTGATGTTTCACTTAACAATTGTGGTGCTTAGCAATGGTGTAGTGTGTCCCATTTGTGGTCACAAGGTGAGGACTACCTGTAGTAACCTTTTTTTGAAGGGTTGTTGACACTTAGAATTATAAAGATCATGTAAATTTTACCAAGGAATCATAAATCCTGCAAGAATGTGCTGCACAATTGGACAAGGGGTGTAAATGATTACAACTCATGAAAAGAAATTGAATTCTTGTACTAAAACATCGATTAACAGAGATACAAAAGTGCCTTTAAAAAGTGTGCTTTTATAAGTGGGTTTTCAAAACAGCACATGATGTTTGTTAGGAATATAATCTAACGGTTGGGTTGGCAATATATAAATCATGTAACAATTATATCTCTGTTTATTAAAATTATAT